GGTCCTTGGACCACAAACATCTGCCATGGCACACAAGCTCTCTCTCACACGAGTAAATAAATGTAAAAAACAAACAAAAAACATAAAATTTTTCTTCTGGCGCTTTAAGGAATTCTCGAGATACTTCGGCGCTTCCTGTGTTAGCATTACAAGAGCACCTGACTCAAACCATAGGCCTGTGTTCAAATTCTGACTTGGAGAATTTTTTTTTTCTTTCTTATTTTAAGACAGGGTGTCTCTACGTATCTATCTTGGAACTCACTCTGTAGCCCAGGCTGGCCTCTCAAACTCACAGAGATCCTCCTGCCTCTGCCTCCCGAGTGCTGGGATTAAGGGCGCCACCATGCCCTGCCACCTGACTATTTTCGAGTCCCTCAGCTTCACTCTCCTTATGTCGAGAAAGGAGCGGGCTGTTGCTTGGATTAAATAGGAATCCATGTGTCGCATGGTTCTCTATGGCACAGGGTGACATTACTGCTAACCCGTGTCAAGCCGAGTGGTGGCTTGCTGCAGGTCAGATGATAGAGGGCAGCAGAGCAAGGACCCGGGCCGGGGAATCCTAACTCCACATCCAGTGTTCTTTCTACTGCACCTGCTTCCAAAGTGAGAGGTTCCCAGGACAACCAATATAAAAGAGCAGCCGCGGCCAACAAAAGACACTCACCTCTACACGAGTCTGCCTTGTGAACAGGTTAAGAGTACAGATGTGTGCCAGGCGCTGGTGGCGCACGCTTTTAATCCCAGCACTCGGGAGGCAGAGCCAGGTGGATCTCTGTGAGTTCGAGGCCAGCCTGGGCTACAGAGCGAGTTCCAGGAAAGGCGCAAAGCTACACAGAGAAACCCTGTCTCGAAAAACCAAAAAAAAGTACAGACGTGGCCTGATAGAGTAGCACATGTCTTTAATCCCAGCACTAGGGAGGCAAAGGCAGGAGACCTCTGTGAGTTCAAGGCCAGCCTGTACTCTCTAAAGAGTTCTAGGACAGCCAGAGCTACATACAGAGATCTTGCCTTTTGCCCCTAAAGAGAGAGAGAGACAGACAGACAGACTCACTCTAGCGCTGGACAGAAAGCTCATCAGGGAAAAGTGCTTGCCTACCAAGCCTGATCACATGAAATCGATTCCGGGACTTTAAACAGAGAATCATGCCCCACAAGCTGTCCTCTGGCCTCCTACACATGTGCTGTGGCACCCACACACATGCACACATATAAATAAACATACACGGGAGGGGGTCTTCAAAACAGGGTTTCTCTGTGTAGCCCTGGCTGTCCTGGAACTCACTCTGTAGACTAGGCTGGCCTCGAACTCAAATCTGCCTGCCTCTTCCTCCAGAGTGCTAGGATTAAAGGCGAAGGCGTGCATCACCACCACCCAGCTATAAATGTACATTTTTTATAATTGGTGTGTGTGTGTGTGTGTGTGTGTGTGTGTGTGTGTGTGTGTGTAGAGATGTTTCAGCCATTAATAGTGCTTGCTACTCTCCCAGAGGACCCGGGTTCATATCTTAGTATCCATGTTGGGTAGTTCACAATTCTAGCTCCAGAAGACTTGACATCCTCTTCTGGATTCCATGAACTCTTGCATTAATCACATACACATTCATGTGCACACACATATATACACACATAATTAAATGTAAATGGGGGGCAGAGAATACGGAGGTGCAGGTGTTCAACAGTCTATGTTCAAATCTTGACACTAGCACTCACAAAGACACGTGACCTTAGGTAAATGACTCAACCCCAGGCTCTATTTCATGGGGTCTTAAGGAGGTAACACTGACCTTCCTGTTCCTAGGCTCACCCCCTTATTTTTATTTTTTGTGGTTCTGGAGCCAGAGGAATGTCCATTTCACTGGCAATAAAAACTCCAAATCTTTACAATATACAAGGCCCCAGTGATCCCTGAAGCCAGACATTGAGAAAGGCTGCTTCCTGTGCTGGGAGGATGGGGTCAGGTTTCCAGTGACGTAAGGCAGGAACTGATCGTTAAATCTACAGTCCCAGTGTCTGTAAGTGTGACCTTCTGTGATCACATCACAGGCCAGGGGGCCTGGTACATGCTGATCTCTGATACTCAACTCGTGACCACCTAAACGCTAAGTCCTGGTGAGGACTCAGCCTTCCCCAGAGTCCAGCAAGGCCTCAGGAAATGTAAAGCCAAGTGCAAAGGAAACAGATCCTTTCCAAAGTCCCAGGCATTACCCTGGGGCTCTTTGTAGGTGAAGGGGGATTCCAAAGACCTTTTAATAAAAAAAAAAGTTCCAGGGTCTGAGACACAGGCTTCCTCTTTTTTCCATTCCAAAAAGGGAAGGAGAGGTAAAATACAGACAATATACATCTCCCCAGAAATGAAGAGGTGCAAAGTTGAAAGTCACAACCCCAGATTCTTAGGCAGATGTTGGAAAACTTTGGCTAATCAGGATTTCCTGATGACAAAAAAAAGTCCCTCCTATTGTTAACTTTTCCAGTTGCAGCCAGTCTCCTGGCACACACAGACACACATAGACATACAGACAGACACACAGACACAGACACCGACACATACACACACAACACAAACACACACACACAGAGCTCTCTCACCTTTGTCTCCCCATGAATGTCCTTCATCAGAATCTCTGTCCACCACGTACACAACATACCCCTGGACTTAGGACACTTTCTTCCCAGAATCCCCATGTGTGCGGAAAACAGGCTGACTCTAGGCATTTCCAGAGTAAAATCCAGCACTGACTTTGAGCGGAGTAAGTGGTCCCAGCTAGGACAATCGGCATGCCCAAGTCTCAGTTTCCTGTTTCTTCCTCTCCAAATAAAGTGGTGGCGCACGCCTTTAATCCCAACACTTGGAAGTTAGAGGCAGGAGGATCTCTGTGAATTTGAGTCTAGCCTGGTTTCCAGAGCCAGCCAGGGCTACAGTGAGACACTGTCTCAAAAACAAAAATAAAAATGTTTGCCGGGCGGTGGTGGCGCACGCCTTTAATCCCAGCACTCGGGAGGCAGAGCCAGGCGGATCTCTGTGAGTTCGAGGCCAGCCTGGTCTACAGAGCGAGATCCAGGAAAGGCGCAAAGCTACATAGAGAAACCCTATCTAGAAAAAAACCAAAAAATTAAATAAATAAATAAAAATGTTCAATGGTAACTCCAGTTCTAGGGAACCTAACCCCTTCTTCCTCTTCTGGCCTCCACAGGCACCGACACCTTCACGGCACACACACAGGGACAGGTAAATAAAACTAAGAAGTCAATAAATAAATGGGCTGGAGAGGTGGCTTCGTGGTTTAAGGGCACTGGCTGCTCTCGCAGAGGTCCCGGGTTTGGATCCCAGAACCCACATGGTGGCTCACAACTGTCTACCTCCAGTTCCAGAGGATCCAACGACACCCCCTTCTGAATTACTCTGGCACGTGTGTGGTGCACATATATAAATGCAAGCAAAACACTCAAATACGTGTGTGTGTACACATATATACACATATACATACATATGTGTATGCATATACAGATATAGATATATATATATAAAAAGAGAGAGAGAGAGAGAGAGAGAGAGAGAGAGAGAGAGAGAGAGAGAGAGAGAGAGGGTATTTTGCTCTAGTCTCTTGACACTGAGCCCCAGGAAGCCATCCATTACCAGACTCAGACCCAACAGCTGACCACCAAGCCTACACAGTTGGCTCAAGTCTGTTCCAGTTCTCCTCGCTCTGAGGAGACACCAGTCGGACACTTGGCCACCTCCACTCATCAGGTCCTTCTACAAGCCTTGCTGCGTGCTCACCACCTGACAATGGTCTCCAGATCAACCCCTAACTCCCCTGTCCCTGACCACCCCAGCATCTGACACGTCATGACAGCTTCCTGTCCAAGCCAGAACATAACAAATCAAAGGAGTCCTCTGCAACATCTGCCTGCCACGACTTGCTACCTAATTGTTGTTAATTGTTTTAATTGCATAGTTCTCAAGTATAAGGCTCCTCCCCCTTGTAGTTTAAGGCAAGCCGAAAGGAACTATGAAGAAAGGTCCCACGCGGGGAAACCTCTTCTCCCACTCCCAACTCTAAGACCCACTACAGCCCAGTGGGACAAACTATTAAGTGGCTGAGTCTTCTCCCGGAGGGTGGAACCAAAAGGGCCCCTAGGAACTACGAGGGACCCAAGGCCTGGATCTGAAAGAGAAGGCACCAACCCACCCATGTGTGCTGGGGAGACCGCGAAAGGATAACAGCCCCGGGGACCTTGTACATGCCTTCCCGCTCAGGCTCACCCTGCAGCCTCCCTCTGCACCCACATCAGGATCCACAGCCTCACTTTAGAAAGACCCATCACAGCACCCCTGACAACATCCTCCCCTGGACGCCGCCCTGGGCAGCTCAACTGAGAGAACTACAAGGACGGGGAAATGGCAATGTGTCCGTGGAGGGGAGGCTGGCGTGACGGTGTGAACGACTTCGGGCAACCCCATGGCTCGGGAGGGACTCGTGTTCTTCTTGGACATCCCCAAGGTTTCCCGAGCCTCTAGTCCCCAGAGCACACCGCTGAGGCCTCTCGGGACCTATTAGGCAGGACCATTCTCTCCAGGGCCAGCTCTTACATCCACCTTCGATCTACCAGGTGGAAAGCTCTGAGCCAAAAGGGTGAGGGTTGGGTGCAGTCTTCTCTCGCTGGGTGAGGCAGCCAGCTGTCAACTGACAGATGCCTGCCATCCACAGTGACAAACTCGGCTTGCAGGAGCGTGCAAGCACAACCACATCAGAACCCCCAAAGACAGGGCTATGACTGTGATACTTAGGAACCGTCTAAGGGTTCAAGGTGAAAACTGCTAAGTGCGTTTCTCAAAGCGCAGCTGCAGGGAAGGGCTGCCCCACTAGCAAAGAGCCAGTAGTTGGGCTGTCGGGCGGCAGTCGGAGAGGAGCGAAGTTGAGGGGGGACCCCTGCGTGGGGGCTGGCCTGGTGTCCTTGGAGCGGGGCACTATTTCCTCATGAACACACCTGGAACTTACCCTCGGGGGGGCCAGAGACCAACTTTCTGCAGCGGAAGGGGAGCGTGGAGCAAAGAGCGGGTGAGAGGGCTGGAGAATGGGGGGCTTCGACCGGGCGCCCCACGAGGCTGAGGAGCCCAAGCGCTGGAAGATAAGCAAGGGGCTGCGCCAGGCCACCCACCAGCTCATCGGACGCACAGCCTGGGCCACCCTCTGGGTCCTATCGCCCCACCCCGGGGCTGGGGTGGCTCGATGGGGAAGGCACACCGCACCGCAGGTAGGAGCAAGAGTTGCGGGACCAGGTGGCCCGGCCCTACCTGCAGCTCCTGAAATTCTCCCTCCAGCTCATGCCACTCGCGCTCGCAACGCTCCAGCTGCCCGGACATGGTGCAATGGTGCAAGGCGGCGGCGGTGGCGGCGGCGGCTCCCGCAGCGTGGCCCAGCCGGCCACCAGCACCCCACGCCCGCCCGCT